GTACAATGAGAGAACTGCATCCTCCATTGATTCCACACACATTTTTTTCAGCTCTCATTTGTGCTGTGCACTGTCTTCAGTCCTGGGGATTTGAAGATGAGAGTCCTTGTACCTCATTTGGGAGGCTGAGAGCTGTCAGAAGTGCTTCAGAAGCCACGCAGGTAACATACATGTGTAAATTTAGTTTACTCGCTTTCTAACTCAAACTTTAAATTTTAAAACATGCAGCTGGTCAAAAAGAACACTTCTTGGCTGGGGGAGGGGTAGATTTGGTTTCTTGTTCATTCATCCTTGAAGAGACAGAAGAAAAAACTACAATGAAATGTGATTTGTGTTGAGTTAGACTGAGATAGGTGAGTGGCCTGGCTTACACCAGAGAATGTATAAGCCACCTGGAAGATCTGCTCAGAGAAGGCCTTCCACTGAGTTCTTTAGTTGAGTCTCCAGCAATGAGTAGGTGAGAATCACACAGTACCTTTGGGGAACTGCACCTGTGGTTTCACAGGAGCATACGGTGTGATGGCAGTGGCTGGAAATAAAGGCTGAGGCAGGCAGAACAAGAAGGACTTGGATGTGCCCTGCTAAAGAGTTTAGATGCATCATGAATTGTGTAGCATCCATGAAGGAGTTTAGATACAAGAATGTCATGATCAGATCTATATATTTGAAGCATCACCCTTTTTAAAGTGTAAAACCCAAGGAGAATATAGCTAGAAGGTCTCGCTCCTCTTCTGCATATTTTATCTTGCATGTTGAAACCACCATATTCCCAGTTGTCCAAACATAGAAATCATCCTGGCCTTACCTCTCCCTCACCCTGCAATTGGTCACCGAGTCCTACAGATTCTTTAAATATTTCTTGAATCCACTCAATGATCTCATTCCAAATGGTGTGTCCTTCACTCAGTCCCTTATCACCTCCTTCCTGGTTGTTCCCAGTGGTCTTCTATATGGTCTTCCCAACTAGGGACCCCCTCCTCCAATTTATTCTCCAGGTCTCATGGCCTTCAGGAAAAAGTCCAAACTGTTTCCTCTGGTGCAGAAAGCCATCTGCGATTCGGACCCCATCTACCCTTTTTGGCTATCGCTCACCTCCTCCTTTCATAGGTTGTCTTTCAGGCTTGTCAAACTCCTGGCAGTTTCCCAAACATGCCAGATGGTTTCAAACCCACCAGCAGAGTCTCCACACCCTCAGTTTGAATGGATTTCTTTCAACCTTCCCTGATAAAATCCAGTTATCATTCAAAATCCAGTTTAAGGGTCATTTCCTCCCTGAAGTCTGTCTTAACATCCACCTCAGTGCCATCTCCCTCCTCTCTCCTCCCCTCCTCCACCATTGCTCACTCTCTGGAGTCCTCTGCAGTTCCCTTCCATGGCATAGCTGACGTACTTTGCTTCATTCATTGCTCCTCCAAGCAAGGACCATCTGCATTATAATCCCATTTTTAAAACAGTTACTGTCACTCTTTTGTTTCTTTAATTTAAAAAAGATTTATCATCATTATCACCATCATCACCATGCAGACACCTGTGCTCCAAACCTACTGAAAGGCTATGAACCTGGGCCCAGAATCAGCTTTTTAAAAAATCTCCTAGATACTGGTAATGTTCTGTTTCTTGATCAGGTGCAGCATACACAGAGTGTTCATTTGTGCAAAAATCACTGAGCGCCACTCTTAGGATATGTATACAGTTCTGTATGTATGTTATTTTCAACAAAAAGTTTAAAAGGGAAAACTCCCTAGGTTATTCTTACATTCACAGATGATGGAGAACCATTGATTTACCTCTCTCTCTCTCGATGAATTGTAAGCCCCGTAGAGAGCAGTGAAGGCATCTATTTTTGTCTTTGTATTACCAGCATCTGTTTTAGTGCCTGCAACATAGAACATGCTTAATAAATGATTGGTAAATAAATGAATGAAAAGAGGGAGAAAAGTGCCTTGCACGTTCCTCCTCCCTCACTCTTTTCCGAACATTATTTGTTCCATGCCCCTGCTGGAGCGCATGATAATTCATGCCTCAAAATGACACCTCTGTCAGGGAGGGTATATCTCAAATGGTAGAGCACATGCTTAGCATGCACAAGGTCCTGGGTTCAATCCCCAGTACCTCCATTAAAAAAATAAGTAAATAAATAAACCTAATTACCTCCTTCCCCCACAAAAATAAGCCAAATAAAATTACACCTGCAACAACCCTCCCCCCCACCCAAGTAAACCTGTGAGATGCCACCTGGCTTCCTCTTTACCACATGCCTGGTGTACTGATCTGGACACCAGTCCAACAAGGGAGGGAGAAATGAAGCAGGTGGAGGACATTCTGTCCCCAGGACCAGGACTTCTGCCCTACCTGGGTCAGAGCCACCTGGCTCAGGCCTTCCTCACCATGGCTGGGGAGAACATGTCCTTGGAGATACTGCATTGCTTAAGCTTCTAGTTGCATCTTTGATGTGAAGTGCTTCCTAAACTACTCGGCTTGAATTATGTGGGAATTTGAAAACTTTGTATTTGAATATTTAGGAGTAACAATGGAGTTTTTTGTTTTGTTTTGTTTTTAGCAAATTTACAGGAGTAAGTGAGAGACACCCCGGGTAAAATATCTCCTAAGTCGTTTATTCAGTCACAAATAATTACCAAGAGCTGCCTAGGTATACAATGATGAACAAGAGTCATCTACCTTAATGGAGATTGCAGTGTAGCTGAGAGAGACAGCCAAACATCTAATTTTCTCATAGTGCTTATGATGTGCTGGACACTTTACATCTATATTCATTTCATCACTGTAACAACTCAGTGATGTTCTATTATTATACCTATTGGAGAGTTACAGACTGATAGAGTCATGAAGGATTAGGGAGCCCTAACCTTGTACTAAGGGTCAGGGAAGATATCTTTAAATGTAAGACATTGGAGCAGAGATCTGAGGATTGAATTGGAATCTCGTAGACAGAGAGGTCTGGGAACAGGCAATGGAAACAGCAGGTGCAAAGGGATATACATTTGTTTGAGGAACTGAAAAGCTGCTCTGTAGAGGGAGCACTACGAGCTCTAGATGGGGCAGAGGAACTAGGCAGGGGCCAGATCACCTAGGTTAGGTTTTTTTCTCAATGTCTTCAACTAGTATGATAAGGTCAGGGAAGCAGAGATAGGAGAATTAAGGTGTATCCTTAGCTTTGTCCTTAATAATCTCAAACATCTCTCTGTGGCTCAGTTTCCTGATCTGAAAAAATGAGTGAATGGACCAGAGCACTCAAGTGGTCCTAGGTTCTAGGGTGCTGATTCTAGGTCAGGCTCTGCTGGAAGGAATTTCCATCGGAGGTGCAGGCCCTGGTTGCTGCTGAATACACTGAGGCCTCCCTCTAACTCCTCTGTACATTAAGTAAATACAGATGATGGAGAACATCACACACAATAAGTTGCACAATAAATACGCCTGTGAGCATGGTTTGTTCCCCTTGTTTGAAATGGAGGATAACCAACTAATAAATAACAATGCGATAGGGATAACCGCCTTTGGGGGACATTTACTGTGCGCCAAGATTAGATTAGGTGCTTTCAGGTGGATTTCTCAGGACAGCAACTAGTTAGATTCCAAAGGTGAGGCCTCAGGAGATTACACAATTTTGAGGTCTTCACCACCCAAATCGGTCCTGTCTACTGAGCATGCCGGGTCCTATTTCCTGTCACCAGGTGTGTTAACCTGAGCGATGACTTCCTCTGGGTTTGTTCAGTGGCTGAGGCGGAATCTGAACCCAACTCTGACTCCAGAGGTTACAGAGTTGCCCACCCTGCTATGCTGCCTCCCCTTCTTAAAACACAGGCAACTCCTGACTCTATAAATAGGGTGACATTGTCTCTTCAGTGTCCTTTCTGGGTGAGGAAAGTGCTTTTTATAGCTTGGGACCGCTTCTGTTTACTTGGTCTCTTCCAGCGCGGGTTAATCCCGCCTACAGCTGTGTCCTTCACTGTCCTTAACACTGTATTCCTAGGTTTCCTCCCTGCAAAAGACCACTCCACGAGAGCACATGGTGTCTGTGTGCGCCAGCAAAGAAATTACACTCCCCTCCCTTTCCAAATCCTCCTACCTTTCTATAAATAATCGTTCTCCTCCCTCCCCTCAGGCCAGTGAGTAGTTTGGTCACTTAACACTGACTCTCTCCCTCACACACACTCACCCACAAAGGTTTCGGGGAGGGGACAACGTGAATGACCTTGCAAAGGTATCTTAGCTCACTGGGGACAGGATTAACAAACCCAAACCTCTACAAATATATATTGCCTTCCCCCAGCATTCCTCCCAAAGTTGTTAGCTCCTCTCGCGCCTGCCTCGCCCAGTCCTCTTTGGGCTCGCTCCGCCATACAAAGCCCAACCCTCCCATCTCTTCGTAAAGCCGGAGAACTTCAGTCCCCATGTTGAAGCTCGTCGGTGGCGGTGGCGGGCAGGACTGGGCATGCTCAGTAGCGGGGACAGGTCTGGGAGGCGAAGGAGCTGTGTTTGAAGTCGCGCGAGTGGGGGATCCGGGGAAGGTGGGCTGCGGGGGCCCCGCCTGGGGGTGCGTGGGGATCCCCGATTCCGCGCCAGGAGCGGGCATGCTCCAGG